TCTATTGTCCTGGTTTAAAGATCAAACACAAATTTAAATTTAAGATCAGCTAGAGAGTTTATAAGAGAAGTGTGAGTCTAAATCTATTTTTTTTAAAGAAAGTGGTTCTATGGTTGATGGTTGACAGTACAATTTTTGCATTATGCATGGGTGGAGGAGAATAAACCATTTTATTGTGTGTCCATCTGTAGTTGGTAAGTTTAATAAATGCCAGTTTAGTGATACAAAATTTCTACGTCTGGTTTGTCTTGATATTGATGTGTCTTGAATTGGCAATGAAGATGGTTTATAAAATAAACCAAAAACCAAACTCATTGCCATCGGGTCGATTCTGACTCATAGTGACCCTATAAGAAAGAGTAGAACTGCCCCGTAGGGTTTCCAAAGCTATGATCTTTATAGAAGCAGACTGCCACATCTTTCTCCTGCAAAGCGACTGCTGGGTTCAAACCAATGACCTTTTGGTTAGCAGCTGAGCACTTTACCCACTGCACCACCAGGGCTTCCGGATTACAAAATAGACTCTGATATTTCGGACTCATGTTCTTTCCTATGTTAGATGTTCAACTTCATGAGAAAAAAGAAATTATTAAAATCTATGTTAAAAAAAGCAAACCAGTTGCTATTGAGTCAGTCTCGACTCATGGTTAACTGCCTGTATTTCAGAGTAGAACTGTGCTCCATAGAGTTTTCAATGGCTGTGATCTTTTGGAAGTAGATCAGCAGGACTTTCTTCTGAGGTGCCTCTAGGCAGACTTAAACCGTTTACCTTTTGGTTAGTTGCCGAGAGTTTAACTGTTTGCACCACCCAGGGACTTCTATTCTGTATTAACCCATGCATTGTTTAGTTTGTGACTTCATATTAGCTAATAGAACTACCAAGAAGTACACGATACAGTTCAGTTTCTTAAGTTCACTTCTAGCCTGTGGTCACATGTTTCATCTGATTCATTTTTGTGATTATCTTTATAAGTAATAATCAGAGTTTCATGGTCCTTAGTATTCAGTGGAAGACAGCAAGCATCTATTTCTAACCTGAGTGAAAACGGATTTATCTCTGAACTATTATCTACAATCAAACCTCCATGTCATTTCCAACATATCTGTTCTCTCTGCTTATATTTTGTTGCCATCTTGAATTCTACAAAAATATTTGTTTCGAGTAAAAATAACACTGAATGAATAACACAGAGAGATTCTGAACCTAACTCATTATGGATGACAATTTAAGTCACGTTTTCTGACTGACCAAGTCATAGTCTGACATATGGATATTGATGCTTTCCGACTTGTAGAGGACATCCAGGATGTCCGTGTTGTGATAAAGAGATGGTTCTTTTACTGGTAACCAAAGGGCGGGGGCAAGGCATTAATGCTCATGTGTTTACACGTGAACAAGTATGATTGGGAGCAGTGGGAGGAATGAATGGACAGATCATTAGATCATTGGGAGAACATATTAACAGAGGTTAATATCACTCCCATGCTTAAAATCCCTCAAAACATTTCAAGGGAACATGGAGTCCGTGAGTAATAAGAAAAAACAACAAATAAGCTTTTTTTTTTTTTGAAAAAGCCTTCATTGGCTCCTCATAGCCTATGAGATAAAGTGCAGATGCTTGAACATGACCTTGACCCTGGTTTACCTACCTTTCAACCTTATCTGTTGCTATCTCCTACCTTTAATCCTGGGCTACCACAATGCTCAAGCGCTTCCTTCCTCTTCCATTCTTTTTTTTTTTTTTTTCCTGTGCAATGTGTCTTTCCTCCATGCCTTATGCTCATGCTGTCTTTTTTCTGCCTGGAATCCCTTTCCCTACCTATCTACCTATTTAATTCCTCACTCCACCCCTGGCTGGGTCAGGGGCCTCTTTCTGATGTGCTCCTATAAAGTCTGAGCCTTGTACCTCTTCCCGTGCATTATTGTTTGTTATTGTGTGTCTGTTACCCTCACTGGACTCTATCCTCAATGCTAGACACATAGAAAGCACCCAATGAAACTTTGTTGAATGAAAAATGAATGTTTCAGTGTACACTAGAAGTTAGAAAATAATTTTAAGTAACCGTAAAACTATAATGATCTGCTGTAGTATCATGTATTATCAGAAATGTCCATTAGCACACAGGAAACTAGAACAATTTTGCAAATACACAAATTGTTGTTGTTGTTAGGTGCCGTTGAGTCGGCTCCAACTCATAGCAACCCTATAGGACAGAGTAGAACTGCCCCATAGAGTTTCCAAGGAGTGGCTGATGGATTTGAACTGCCGACCTTTTGGTTAGTAGCTGAGCTCTTAACCACTACACCATCCGGGCTCCAATAGGCAAATAGGTTTATATAAATGTAAACGAATCCTCCATGTTCTGCTATTAGCAATTGAATATATTGTTGGGATTGCTGATTCTTTTGGTAAACTTTTGTACTAACTAGTGCTATTTTGATGTTTAACGTTTTACTTTCTCTCTAATGCCAAGTCATTGGGAGAAGCTTTGTGTACTTGCTTTGTCATAATGGTTTTGAGTGTCTTGTTCCTTTACACTCATGAGGTGTCAGAAGTATACCTAATAGACACCTGCTACAGTGCCTGGTGAGAATGCAATTTCAAAAGTCTGAGTTTCCAGGGAAAATTTTGCATATAGTATACGAGGGCTTTTTCCTCTTCTAGCTAACATAGTAAATTTAAGTTAGAATTATAAGTAAAAACGTTCCAAGAATCAGAGTCAAGAATAAAAAATCAGATACATAAAATTGTTGTTAGCTGCTGTCGAGTTGGTTTCTGGCTCATGGTGATCCCATGCACAATGGAACTAAATGCTGCCAAGTCCTGTGCGATCCGTACGATCGGTTGCAGATAGGATCATTGTGATCCATAGGGTTTTCATTGGCTGATTTTCAGCAGTAGACCACTAGGCTGAGTCTGGAAGCTCTGCTGAAACCTGCTCAGCATCAAAGCAACACACAAGCCTCTACTGACAGACAGTGGTGGCTGTGCTTAAGGTGCATTGGCTGGAAATTGAACCAGAGTCTCCCTCACGGAAGGCAAGAATTCTACCACCAACCCACCAAGTTCTCACCCTTAGACTCGTACCTTTACAGATAAAGGAATTGATGCCCCCAGGGTAAATTACCATTCCCTGGAGACACCAGGACTAAAATCACCTGATTCTTACTTCAAGGTGAATGAATTTCCAAGCAAAGGAAAATACATTGAGATCTTACCGGTTAGAAGAAAGAGATCCATCCAGGCAATCTTGAGAAAAAGGACTTACTAATAAAGTTAAAACGGCGTAAGAAGCTTTGCCATTGTGCCCAGCAATTCGGTTACCTCTGTTCCTCTATGCCTTTCTCCTCCCATCTTGAGGCAGTGAGACTCTGATTGTGTCAGTGACTTGGTTACCAACCACTAAGGAGCATTTCTGCCGGGAAGCCTTTGGCACTGATACCAATATTGGATCCTATTAGTTTTAGTCAAAGTAAGACGGTTGTTTTGGTCAATGCATATGACGTTGCAAACTATAGCGGGCTTACGCAGGAAGTACTTCCTACGACTTCTGCAGAAACAAAGCAGACCTTTGGGAGGGTACAGGTGTTTTGAATTTCTGGACCTAACTGGTATGGGGAGTAAAGGACAATTGTGTCTATAAATATGAAATGGGGAAGATGAACTAAATCAGTGGAAGCTCAGATGGAGTTTGTTTGAAAATGGAAAGAGATAAATGCTCTGACCATAAAAAACTACTCACAAATACTGCAACGTGGCCTTGGGCAAGTCAGTTAAACTCTCTGAGCCTCAGTTTGATTATCTTAAATTAAAGATGATAATAATGCATACTTTGCCCAGTAGTTGCGCATATAAGTTGTGATGTATATTAAATAGCCATTGCTCTCAAGGGGCTCCATGTAAGATAATCGTTATGATTATTACTACTACAGTACTACAGCAACTACTACTAAAATTGCATTGCCACTACTTCTATTACATGTCAGTAGTTTGTAGTAAATGAGCCATCTCCTCTGCTCAGTTAGACAACAGGAGGGAGGGCTTTACAATTGATTTGCAAGATGCTGTAAAAGTTTATTCACACTGCAATAATTAAGGTCTTGGGCTCTGTGGGTTAAGGAATTAAGACTACTTCCTAGCTGTGATACCTTAGACAAGTTATTTAACTTTTGTGCCTCAATTATCTCATCTGTAAAATGGGAATAAGGATACCTCCTATCACACTGAGTTCTTGTGAGGATTACACAAGACAACCTAAGCAATGCGTAGAACAATGTCTGGCACGTAATAAGCAGTCAATAAGTGTTCTCTATTTAGCTATTAATGTATTGATATGTATTAAACCATAAACCCATTATCATTGATTCCGACTCATAGCAACCCTCTAGGACAGAGTAGAACTGCCCCGTAGAGTTTCCAAGGAGCGCCTGGTGGATTTGAACTGCTGACCCTTTGGTTAGCGGCCGTAGCACTTAACAAACATGCCACCAGGGTTCCCTTGATATGTATTGGACCCCGATAATTACCTTGTGAGATAGGCAGTATCATTTTCTTTATTTCACGGATACTAAAACTGAGGTTCATGATTTGCCATATTAGTAAATTAGGGGAGTACTCAAAGATCCTTCCTTCCCTCTTTTTCTTCTTTCTTTTCTTTCTTCCTTTCTTTCCACATCTACTTAATTATTGAGCTGGACTAAGATACAATAATTCCTGCCCAGTCAATTGGGATTTAGGGCTTCTGATTGCATTTTCTTTCCCCTACAGCCCCGTTCCCCTGCTTGTGCCAGAGCACTTGTAAGAAAGTGCTCACTCACATAGCTTGCTCCCACTGAAATGAATTCATATGGTGCTTTTGTTTTTTGCCACTAGCCTACTACTGTTAGCTGTCATGTCCAAAGTCCTAAGTTCTTTAATTGAATTTTCATAGATGAGAAATCAATAGGGTCAAGGAAATAAGAACCAGTGTTTATTGGACTTTTCTTTAACATCTTTCAGGTCTTGTGGAAATTTGCTTGATGCACCCTCTTGATGTGGTGAAAACCAGGTAAGGTTCTGCATGAACAAGTTTTATTGACTTTGGCTGATATCCAAGTTCAGATCTGTCAGAACACTAAATGCTAGAACTTGTCCCAGACTGGTAGCTTCTCCCTATAATGGCATTTATATTTACTTCTTAAAGAAAATACTATTTGACAGATAAAATGTGAACAGTGAAAAGCATTTCTGGAGAGAGGTCATCTGAAGGTATGTAATATTTTACTGCCTTCACATGAAAACCATACGGTATGATTTGTGGCTATGCTGGTAAATGAGCTAAATTTATCAAAATGATGTAAGGACTAAACTTTATCCACTGAATTATGACAGTGCACTTTCATTTGGCATTGTATATAACAGAATTGCTACTTAATAGTCAGCATTTTGGTGTAAGACTCCAAAATTTCAAGTAAGTTTCTTAAACGGTGCTTAAAGACTTTATTCCTATGACTGTTTGGCAATGCAAAACGCCATATTTCCAGGAACATTCATTTGCTCTTAAAGAGAGATACAAAACAGGGCAAAGAACCTTACGAGTTTTAATATGATCTTGAGCAATTAAAAAAGTTAAACCTATGGCTAAATTACTGAACTCTCTTTTTCAAATCAGAAGCTCTTAGAGTATACTGAAAGTTTCCATTTATTTGCATTGTGTATAAAACACAGGAGCACCATGCCTAGGTTGGAGCTTAGTAGCAAAAGGTGCCATGCAACAATGGTGTCAAACAGAGCCTGACTGCCAAAATTAGGAAATACTTGATGAGTCAGCCTGGTTATAGGGTGGGCCACGTTGCTTAATCTACCTAGAGGCAGCAGAGTCTTAGACTGGTTGCTGAAAGCAGGGGAAGATAACTGTAACCTGCAAATAATATTACATTTCTAGTAGAAAAGGAGCTGTGGTGCTGCTCTATTGCTCACCAAAAGGTTGGTGGTTCGAAGCCACCCAGCCACTCTTTGGGAGAAAGACCTGGTGATCTCCTTTTCTAAAGATTATAGCCAAGAAAACTCTATGGGGCGGTTCTACTCTGTGACATGGAGTCACTATGGGTCAGAATTGACTAGAGGCCCCCCAGCAACAACCACAAGAGAAGTAGAGAAGATGGAAATTTGGCCCCAAGTCACAAAAGTCAAACAGAGAAAGAAGAAACCCACAAAATATATTCAAATGCATGATGTGTACACCCCTGCAGTCATGTTTTTACAGGGTTTGGAGACAGAAAGCAAAACTGACTAGCATTTCTTCTTTAAAGTCTATGTTAACTTTCCTTGAAAAGTGAGAATATTGTTGCTAGTCTCACTGAGGAATAAATTGTCTTTTTCATTTCAGAGTAATTTCCTAAATTAATCAAGTGTTCAAACGAGAATATAGGAGAAATAAAAATGGTTTAAACAAGACATTATACTGAAATTATGGTCACTCCCTCACTCCCTCAATTCTTATTTAGCAAATATTTATTCAGTATCTAGTGTATATTGGCTTCAGGCTAGCCCTGCCCTCAAAGAGCTCACATTCTGATGAACTAATAGGATTCTCATCACAATGAACTTCAAAGACTGTATCATTTTGTTGTACTGGAATCGAATTGAGTATTTCTTGGAATGGATGTACCAGGATGCTAGGGCTTTACATCATCTGTGTTATATAGATATTTTCATTGAAAATGGCATTCATGCTCTGACTGGGATCACAACAGAGGGTCCTGGACAGAGCCAGCGAAGGGTGTAGAAAAAAATTCTAACACACACAAAAGAAGACCAGATTTACTGGCCTGACAGAGACTGGAGAAAACCTGAGAGTGTGAACCCCAGACACCCTTTTAGCTCAGTGGTGAAGTCATTCCCGAGGTTCACCGTTCAGTGGGGATTGGACAGCCCCATAAAACAGAACGGACTAAGAGGCACAGCAGTCCAGGGACAAGGACTAGAAGGCAGGAGGGGACAGGAAAGCTGGTAATAGGGAACCCAAGGTTGAGAAGTGTCAATGTTGACATGTCATGGGGTTGTTAACCATTGTCATAGGGCAATATGTGTACTAACTGTTCAATGAGAAACTCTTTGTTCTGTAAACCTTAATCTAAAGTACAAAAAAAAAAAAAAGAATTATCTATGTAAGAGCAAATTGACAATAGCAACTCAAAAGGTTTGATGGGAAGCCTAGGCAACAGTGAGTTGAAGATAATGGTGATGGAATAATCTGGAAAAGGATAGTGAGAATAGCAGCACAACTGGAAGAACGTAATAGATGTCACTGAATTGCACATGTAGAAATTTTTGAAATGGTGTATCTTTGGCTATGTATATTTTCACCAAAAAAAAAGGTCCTCCAAGGTTGAGAAGGGAGAGTGTTGATATGTCATGGGGTTGTTAACTAATGTCATAAAACAATATGTGTACTGACTGTTTAATGAGAAACTATTTGTTCTGTAAACCTTCATCTAAAGTACAATAAAAAAAAAATTAAAAAAAGAAAATGGCATTCATCCTGGGGAACATCTAGCTCAATTGGCATAACATAGTTTATAAAGAAAATGTTGTACATCCTACTTGGGTAAGTAGCGTCTGAGGTCTTAAAAGCTTGCTAGTGGCCATCTAACATATTCCACTGGTCTCACCCCATCTGGAGAAAGAGAGAATGAAGAAAACCAAAGACACAGGAGAAAGATTAGTCCAAAGGACTAATGGACCACAACTACCACAGCCCCCACTAGACTGAGTCCAGCACAACTAGATGGTGCCTGGCTACCACCACTGACTGCTCTGACTGGGATCACAATAGAGGGTCCTGGAGAGCTGGAGAAAAATGTAGAACAAAATTCTAACTCACAAAAAAAAAAAAAAAGACCAGATTTACTGGTCTGACAGAGACTGGAGAAACCTCAGGAGTATGGCCCCCGGACACCCTTTTAAGCTTAGTAATGAAGTCACTCCTGAGGTTCACCCGTCAGCCAAAGATTAGACAGGACCATAAAACAAAACGAGACTAAAGGGGCACACCAGCCCAGGGGCAAGGCCTAGAAGGCAGGAGGGAACAGGAAAACTGGTAATAGGGAACCTAAGTCGAGAAGGGGAGAATGTTGACATGTTGTGGGGGTGGGAACCAATATCACAAAACAATATGAGTGTTAATTGTTTAATGAGAAACTAATTTGCTCTGTAAACCCTCATCTAAAATACAATAAAAGAAAATGGCATTCATTGGTTGGAATTAGTCACATGCTCTTGCCTAACTTCAAGGGGAGGCGAGGAAATACAATCTTCCTGGTGCCCTGAAGGAGAGGGGGCCTGTTATTGGATAGTATTTGACCTGCATAACAATAAAAAGAATACTGAATAAAGACCTGCAATTGTAAACTGAAAGCTCAAAATAGGTGTAACCGACTTTGTAACAGAAGTAGAATACGCAAGACTGGTAGATTTATCACTTGGGCACTAATACAGAAGTGACACAGAGTGGACGGAAGTAGACTCAAATGCTAGAATCTTATCACTGTTACGTTATACAGGAGATGGCTACATTTCTAAATAGAAGTAAATTCATACCCATGTAACAGAATTGATCACTTTCAGAGTGAAAACATAATGGAAAAAAAAAAAAACCCGTGAAGGAAGAACTTGGAAATAAATGTTTAGAATTTGTTGCCTTTCATTCAGCAGAGAAAAGGACTAGACTCAAATAGAACCCAAGGAGAAAAGACTAGACTTCAAGAAGTAAACACGTTTATTTTGCCGTACTCCCAGCACATGTGATACTATGGAAAATGAGCCATACCCACATTCAGATTAATTCAGCGTACCTCACTTCAACTCATAATATCCAAGGAGAGGCAAAAACAGCCCTGAAAAAAAAACTGTGAAGTAAGTGAGGTTTGACCTGGCACATCCCATGCTCCACTTTGGCAATACCTATAACAACTCAGAACCCAGTGCTCTTGGAACACCATGTCACTAAGGAAAGTGACCTGCTAGAATCACTAATGCGAAATGATTTCATGTATTATATCAGTTTGTAGTTTTTATTATTTCATTTTTTATGAAATAATAAATGTACCTTATGTAAAATTCAAATAATACTCCAAGCCTTGTGTCAATCAAGATAGGCTAGGTTATGCTGCTGTAACAACAACAAGAAGACCCAAATCTCAGTGGGTTACAGTAGCAAGAACTTTTTTCTCACTCCCACTACATGTCCAAATGCATGGGAGACCCTGCTCATTGAAGTGACTCAGGTTGACAGAAGCTCAGTTCACCATATGCTCTCACAGTCTCCATAGCTGGAAGAATAGAGCTGAAGGGTCCGGTACTGGCAAAGTTCTGACCAAAAGTGTAACTTCCTCCCTAACTCGTTGTCAAGAAGTAATCACTTGACCATACCTGGACAACAAGAGGGAGAGGAAATACAATTCTCCAAGATGATCTGAAGGAGAGAGGAACTGCATATCATTATGCCACAGTCATGTCTTATAAGCATAATCGTCATTCCCATACCCAGTCCTCTCCAACCCCTACCCCAGTTCCGTTTTCCAGAGGTAAGGGTCTTTGACTCTTTTAGCTACTTCTGTTATAATACTTGCAAATTTTCAAATACTATGCTTCTACTGCTCTTTCTTGATTTGTCAATTTTAAATATATCCATGACATTTCTAATTGTAACCTGCCCCTACTTCCCCTCCCCACATCTGACCCATTATTGGTGGTTACGTTATTTTGACGATAATCAATTGTTTAAATTATTTTGACTATGCAAATATTGTTCACTGTGGAACCAAATGGCATTCCATGGTTTATGTTCTTGGAGTTCATTATTGCCCCAGATTTTCATGTCTTCAATTTCCTATAGGGCTATTGTTAATTGCTACCTCTTCCCAGATGTTTCAGTGGGTCCCTTTTTAATACTATTTTCCATGTGATCAAACTCAGAGAAAATGAGGGGGTGTGACTTGTTGAATGCAGGTTTTATGGCAATGACCTGGCTTTTTTGTTAGGTGACACCCCCGCCGCCCCACCAAT